ATAATTATATTTTGTTAATAATAATTATACTAATAATGTTAGTTTTAATAACAAAATAAAACTAAAACTAAAAATTAAATATAGTGAAAATGATTATTTATATACTACATAATTTATATCATGAAGATATTTATAGGTGTAATTTATATTTTTTTATTTTTAAAAATATTTATTTTTATTAACAACTAATGTGTGTATATTAATATTTTTATTTATCAAATTATTCATTTGCATCCTATTTGTTTATAATTTTTAAATGATTAGATATAAGTATTTAATATTTTAACATTGTAATTTGTAAAGATGTATAGAAGGTTTAAAATCATATTCACAATATTTATATTCTAATAATTAATACGAACAGATGATTTTTATTTTTATTCACATTAATTATATTATAGTTCATATGATTTGTTTATTTATTCATTATTATTTCATTGAAATCGTTATTTCATTTACATACATAATAATAATTAATAGAAAAAAAAGTTAATATTAGGAATGATCTTAATTTATATTGAAATATTCAATGTAATACTTATATTTTAAAAATCTTTAATGTGATATTTGAATTATAAATTTAGTAACTAATATGATATTCAATTCTATTGTAATTAACTCCAAAAGATGACATGTAAATGATAAATAGTTTTTCAGTATTATATTAATTAACAAATTTATAATTGAGGCATTACATTAAAAAATTTTAAATTTAAGTATCATATTGAATAATTTACAATAATTTAAGGGTCATTTGTAATATTAACCCTTTAAAATATCAATTGAAAATTTCCTAAAAATTATATTTTAAAAAATTTCAAATAATTATTTTTAGGTTTAATATCATAAAAAACATAAATTATAGAAAATGTTCAACATGGTAGTTGAACTTTAAAATTTTTTAATTTGGTACCTAACTTCTTGATTTATGAATTTATTAAATAATATAGTACTTGAGAGATTATTTGTATGCTATGTTTTATCATTTCAAACTAACTACATTAAAAATAACTATCAGATAACAAATTCAAATTGTTTATATATTATAAAATATATACGTTACAAAATATTTATCATGCAGTATTTTTGGACCCAAAAATTAATATAGATATTTTGGAGGAAATTAAATGTATCCAAAAAATAAAAGAGATAAGTTAAAAGGAAAAAAGTGGTTTAATTTCATTTATTGAATCTCTTAAAATAAGTGATTATAAAAAATATATAAAACTAAAAATTGGCATAAGTTGATCAATATATATATATATATATATATATATATATATAAAGGGAGGAATCATACCAGTGGCATAGCTAAAAATAATTTTAGTGGGATCATATCCATATATTAATTCATATTATATAAAACACATAAGGATTTTTTTACATTATATTATTAAAAAATTACGTAAATTTTAATTGTTTTAGTTATTAAAAAAGTATAATTCATTAAAAAATAACTATAATTTGATACTATATGATGCAATCACGCTTATAATATATTCATTTTTAAATTTATAAATTGAATTAAATATTATTTGATTATTATTATTTTTTGTACAAAGGAACTTGCATCTTTGAATAAAGAAAAAGTTATAATCATCACCTGTTTGATTAGAGAGGCAAGAAGCTCGATTTATCTTAAGTAATGTCTCTGTTTCGAATTTTATGAATGAAAAAAATAAATTTAAAAAAACTTGCTCTCTTATGGGGTTCGACTTTGGATTAATCGAAGCTTAAATTGATTATCAAACATCGAGGGTCTCAAATGAAAAAAAAGTTATAAATATTTAAATTTAAATTTTAGACTTATTGAATATCATTTTATAAAAATAATTATACGATGAATTGAACAAAACTTTGGGCTCAATATCATTTGATTATTGTTTTTTGTTATTTATTTGAGTAAATGTATTTTTTAAATGACATCATCTAAGTTAGAAGTTTTTAATAAAAATTTAATTTTTTTGTAAAATCAAGATTCTAACTGTAATAAAATAAAAATGTATACTCTTAGTATTCATATAATAACAAATATGAATTTGTTTTCATTTTAAGTAAAAGATCGAGAACATATTTAGCTATTATTCATTCATACTTAGCATGTGATTATATTTAATTATATACAAATTTAAAGATTTTTTATTTTGTTAGAAATCTTAATATTGCCATTATAAAAATGAATAAAAATTTTATTTATTGAGTGAGGTCAATTGACTAAAAAATTGTGTAGCTGCGCCCCTGAATCATGATAGGTGTGTAGTTTTTTTTTTTTTTAAATGATAAATAAAATCTAAGTCTTAAAAAAAGGAGGGAAATTATGTGATGAACGTTTAATTTTATTACATGCATATAAAAATAAGTTTATTTTATTTTGAAAATATAAGGACATAAACATCCCTAATTTTATTTTATTTTGATTTTTAGTAATTTTTTTTAACTAAATTGCTGTTTCTTGACTTACAACACCAATCTAAGTCAAGCGCATTATAAATAGTTTAGATTCTATATAGTATCTTTTTTTTTTTTTTTCATAATCTTTGTCTTTGGTTTTCTAATTTCACAGCATATTTAAAAAATGATTTTATTGTATTTTATATTAAAATTTTTAATTTTTTTATAAAATTGATGTAGCATAGATTTTAATGTCAAAAGATAAAAAAAAATCCTTTACTAAAACAAGAGAGATTGTTAAGGAAAATGAAATGGGAAAGCATAAAATATGGAGAGTGATAAACAAAATGGAATGGAAATATTTTATTCTTTTCTTAAGAGATATTTAACAAAATTTCAGTTACAATGCAAAAGGACCAAGATTTGGAAAAACTTATTCCAGAAGTTGATAGATAAAAGTATTGATCGCTTGTATATGTCAATTATGTGGCTTTCAAGTCTTCTTATTCGTGGGGGAGATTTTCTTTGTCAATAATCGTTGGACATGAGGAAAATAGTGGCTATAATCAGTCACGTAACCGGCGCCGCTAAATCTTAGAAAATATTTGAGGAAAATATTGCCTATAATGGGTTATGTAACCACCGCCACTAAATGTATGAAAATATATGTCGTAGCTACTATGATTGTGATGTGGTGGGCTACGATTTTGCCTGTCTGTCATTAGAAGAGGCTCATGGGGGCATGGGTCCTATCGGGGCTGAAGCGCAGTGGAGACAAAAAAATATTTTAACATGATATGTATTTTAAATAAAATTTAAAAAATTTTAATAATTCAATTTTTTTTATTGTTGAGATTATCATTAATTGCCGAAAGAGCATCTTCACTAATAAACATTTTGAATACTCATTTATATAATCGAATAAAAAATTAATAGCTAAATGATAGTTTAATTATGTATATTAAAAAAATATTGACAATAAAATTATTGTTCAATATTTTTCAAAATATAAAACTGCATTAAAGATAATTATAAAATTTTTAACAACTAGATCTAGATACAAAAGTTTTAATTTTTTAATACTATTATGTTATTTTTTAAAAATTTAATATATTTAAACTAAACTCTTATTAAATAAAATTAATCGTTCTGTCACTAAATTCATATATATCATGTTGCAAAATTTTGTATCTATTAAAAAATATTTTATGTGCTAGTGAATTTTTAAATATTTAATTTTATGTTTTTGTCACATACCATTTTTTGAAATAAAAAAATCTGAAAAAATATGTTTAGCTAAAGAAGTGATCAACAATATTTCAAAAAATGTAAATATAATGATATTGAAGATTTTAAATTTTGCAAGCAAAATTAAAAAAGTGACATATATCACTTAAAATATATTAAAAAATAAATAAATAAATAAGTATGATATGTATTACTTTTTAAATTTCATATATGCAGATAAAAAACTTTCATTAACAATATATTAAATAATATTTTCATAATAAATCCAGTTATATATACTAAACAATCAACAAAAAATTTACACTAATAATAAATCATATAATGATATCTTATAAAAAAATTAATTTTAAAATCTTAAAGATTAAATACAATTTTAATAATATATTTAAAATTAAATTTTATAAAAGATTATTATATAATTTATTGAAAAATGTATAACATATATACAATAATACATCAGATCATACAAATCCACAACACATTGTACCAATTGATCCTGATTTGCTTGTGAACTCGACATTCACACCGCCGCCCCCTCCCTTGAAAATAAGTCACCGTCTCTCCGATCATTTTCTCAAACGTTTAACACGCAAAGGATTGTCGCATACATAAATCAGGCAGGCTGAAAATGATTGGGCTAATGATCAACCCCACTTTGGTTAATTATTACTTTTGCTGCATATTTTATTAATTTTGGAAACAAATAATATATAAAATAAAAAATTTGTTTGGTTATAATTAAAAGCAAACAAAAATATATATGTAAAATTTTTAATAATAAAATGTATAATTCTAATTTTATTTAGATTATTTATGTTATAATTGTTATTATTACACTTCAAATATTTATTTATTGAAAAATATTATTCATTCCCACTGTTATCTTAATACTTTGGCCCTACATGATGTGACAATAATTTATTTATTTGATTGTAATATTTAATTTATAAATTAATTAATTTATTTATAAATTGGAAATTCCCATATTTAAATTATCTAATTATTATATGTCATATTAGGAGTACAAATTTACAAATATTTAAATTAAAAAATATAACTGCTTCTCTTATTCTAAAACTAGAACATTTATTCTTAAATTAGGACATTCTTTCTTTGTATTAAAAAAGAAATTGTATGATAAGAGTTTTCACTAGCGAAAGTGAGTAAGGAGTTATTTTTTATTATTTTTGTTATTTATTTTTTAAAATATAGAAAAAAAGTTAATTTAGATAAAAAGTAAAGTATTAATAATTTTTGAAGAATTAAAAATTAAAATTGTAGTAATTATTTCAAAAGAAAATATAATTTTTTTTATTTTTGTATAACTAAAGGGTCGGGTTCCCTCAGCTATAAATAGCAGTAGACAATAATACTAGTTTGAACATATATAGAACTTGAATTCCAATCTCCCATGATCACCATGGATCTTTATACTTTTATCCAACTAATTGAAGGGGTCTTAGCTTTCCTGCTGGTTCTATATGTTTTCTCGAGAAATATATCAAAATATTCTAAGAAAAGTTGTATCCCCGAACCATCTGGCTCATGGCCACTAATTGGTCACCTCCATCTCCTAGGTGGGAAAGAAACACTATGCAAGAAGCTAGGAGCTATGGCTGACAAATATGGCCCACTCTACTCACTCAAGCTCGGTAGCCGTCGAGTGTTGGTGGTGAGCAGTTGGGAAATTGCCAAGGATTGCTTGATCAACAATGACAGAACACTGGCTACGCGAGCAAATATCGCAGCTGGGAGGCATATAGGCTACAACAACGCCATTTTGGCACTTGCCCCATACGGAGAATATTGGCGTAATATCCGCAAGATTGCCACGATTGAGCTTCTTTCAAGCCATCGTCTTGAGAAGCTGAAGCACATTCGTTTCTCCGAAATGGACTTGTTTATCAAAGAGTTGTTCGGACTTTGTGCACAAAATAGAGCTGATAATTGCGCCCAAGTGACTATGAACGAGGTGTTGGAACGCTTGACTTTCAACATAAACCTAAGGATGCTCGTTGGAAAGCGATTTTCTAGTAGCACTTACGCTCAAGTAAATAGTGAGCCATGGCGGTACGAAAAAGCCATAAAACAAGCTGTGTATCTCTTCGGGATTTTCGTCTTGGCAGATGCTCTGCCGTACCTTGAATGGATGGATATTCAAGGGCATGTGCGTTCCATGAAGAAGACAGCAAAGGAACTTAACTCGGTAATCAGTGTTTGGCTGGAGGACCATCTTAGGAGAAAAAAGGAGAGCCAGAGTACCTGTGAAAGTGACTTCATGGACGTGATGTTAGCGAACTTGCCAGAGGACGCTGTAATTTCAGGGCATACCCGCGATACTATTGTGAAGGCAACAACCTTGGTATGGTTCCTATTTTGAGCTTTAGTTATTACTAGTATCTCATACATCTCTATTTTTTTTTTCACGATTTACACTTGATGTCTTTGATGGATATTTTCAATTCTTAACCTCTAAGGCTATATATAAATGCGTTAAATTGTGTCTAGTCTAATTAAAAATAGATTTTTACACTGAATTTTTATACATGTAATTTGGTTGTTTTAATTATTTTTATATTTAAAAGATCATCATTTTAAAAGTTTATTATCACGCTGTATAATCTCTAATGAAAATTACAACTTGTGTATAAAATAGACACAATGCTTACCATGAGAGTAAATCATTATAAATTTTGGTATTTAATTTTGTTACTTATTTTATTATATTTTTTAAAAATAAAGCTTTAATTTTAATGAAACAAGGTTCAATTAAACATAACCGTGTAAGCAAAGATCAAGGGTCTAGTCAACATTGCATTTAATTTTTGTAGTTTTGGAGTTAGAACACTTTACTCGTAATTCTGTACGGTACAAAACTGTTCATTTAATTATATTAATAGTTCGGAATTTATAGTCCAATGACATACAAATATATAAACCGTGCAGTCAATGATCTCTTATAGTGACATCAATAAATGACATTTTATCCTTCCTTCAAAAATCTATTTTTTTATTTTTATTTTTTATTAAATCTATTTTGTTAATTCTTTTACTTTTAAATTTTTTTTATTTTTTATTTTATTTTTTTATTAGATAAATTTTATAAGAAAATAAATGAAGGTAAGGATGATAAAATTCGTATCTAATTAGTTTCAATTTGCATCGATCTAGTGCTTTTAAAAAAAATTGATATTGTGTCAAGAATTTTTTTTTTAAAATTCAATATGATCAAAGACGAGTTTAATGTGTTTTATTTCATCTCTGATGTTTATTATTTAAAGTTTTTTTTTCCTTTTTATTTAATTTTTTGATTTTTTATTAAATAAATTTTATAATAAAAAAGTTAATTGAGATAAAGATGACAAAATAACTCATGTTCAATACGTTTCTATTTACACCGATTCAATTAGTGCACTATTTTTTTTTTTAAATTTAGGATAATAGGATTGAGTTTTCTTTTTAAATTGAGTTTGTGTAAAAATAAGGTTTTGTATGTTATACCTTATCCTAAATATATATAAAGTATGTATTTTATTATTTAATTAATTTTATACTTAAATATTTTATTAAAAAATTATTATTTAATACTTTAATTTAATAAATTCCCATGCCATCTTAGTTTTTTTTTTTTTTGGTAATTTTTTTCTTTTAAAAATTCTTTTATTAGATAAAATAGATGTAAATATGATAAAAAACTTATATCTAATAGGTTTTGTTTCGTCAAGATACAATCAGTGCAATATTTTAAAAAAAAAGATTGAGTCAAAATTTGTCTTTTTTGAACAATTTTTATCAAATCAAAATTGAGTTTGAATTACTATAAAAAGGATATGTACTTATTTATGTTTTTAATTTGTATTTGCATTTCTTAAATATTTTTATTATTTATTTCTAAAAAAATACATTTATATTTGTCCACCTATTATCATTCAGTAAAAATTAGTATAAAAAATTTACTTATCTTATATTTAAAACATAATTTAAAAAATAAAAAATAATCATATAGTAAACCATGGGTCCAATTCTAGTGACATTAAGTTTTTTATGTACTTCAAATTAGTTGAAATACTTTCCAGGAAAGAAAAAAAAAGACGAAAATACTGAGATTGATATATACCAAGAGTGGAAGAATTAAGAAAAAGCATATTAAAAACAAAAAGAAAAAATTACTAGGAAAGTGGCCACATCACATATGCTTAAAATTGTGCTGTTGTTTGCAGATTCTTACCCTGACTGGAGGAGAAAGCACATCTGTGACAATAACGTGGGTACTCTCTTTACTATTGAATCATCCAAGCGTGCTAAAGGCAGCACAAGAAGAGTTGGACCTCCACGTTGGAAGAGATAGGTGGGTTGAAGAATCAGATATTAAGAACCTGAAATACCTACAAGCCATTGTCAAGGAAACTCTGCGCTTGTACCCACCAGGTCCCATAACTGGAATCCGTGAGGCCACGGAAGATTGTTGCATTGCTGGGTATCATGTCCCTAAGGGCACCCGTTTGATCATCAACCTTTGGAAATTGCAGCGAGACCCAAGAGTTTGGGAAAACCCCGGCGAGTTCCAACCGGAAAGGTTTATGACAACTCATGCTCATTTTGATGTTAGGGGTCAAAATTTCGAGTTCATTCCATTTAGCTCCGGTAGAAGATCATGCCCTGCAATAACCTTCGGCTTGCAAGTTGTTCACTTGACACTGGGGAAACTGCTTCAGGGATTTGACATTAGAACACCGGATGGCAAGTCAGTGGACATGGCCGAAGGCTTGGGCCTTGCCTTGCCCAAGCTGAATCCTCTTGAAGTTGTCCTCACCCCACGCCTTTCGGAGGAGTTTTATAAGTGCCTTTAAGGCATAATAAATTTGAGATTTAGAACGTTGATAATTAATAATCAAGGGCCTTTGCTTAGTGGTCGTATCCCACCCTTTTAATGGATTGGGTATCTATATATCAGGCCTATAATACAATCTTTATGTTCTACTCCCAAAGGGGTGATATACCCTTAGCTCTAATTTGTGTAAGGGAAAAAATAAATTTTAAATTAATAGAGGATATGAATCCTTACTATTAAAAATAATATGAACCCTTTATTAATGGTTTCTATGGATGGAATTTCATAATTAGATTTTTAAAAAATTGAAATAAACTTACACTTATCAATGGAAATTTTTCTTGCCAATTAATATTACCAATGAAATTTTAAATTTAATTTCAAAAAATATTTTAATGGAAAAATAGTTTAGTGACAGAAATTAAAGAAATATTGATAGAAATTTGTCACCAAAACCCTCTATTAAAAATCTTATTATCCATGAAATCAAAGACATTGACAACGAAAATTTTTATCACTGATATCATTCTTTCTTATAGTGATAGATTTCAGTTTGATTTATGAAAAATTAAAATACTGCTCACTAATCAAAAAAAATTTCAAGACGTAGCCGAAACGTTTTATCCCTACCTACCACAGAATTAGGCTTTGACAAAAATAACCTTTGCTAGTGACACCTCTAATAAGGTGGTTAAATGAATTCAAATCCAAAATTCACTAAAAAAATCTCGATTCTAAACCTATTCATACCTAAATTGATAAAAAAAAAAAAGATTGAACTTAAAAACATTGAAACTCAAAATAATTAGAACATAGAACGAGATTTCCCAAATTTAAATTAGGATCTAGAAAAAAAATAGATCAGTAAAAATAAGATCTACAAAAAATTAAGATCTTGTCAACCTAGTGTTGTCTGCAATTCTGCAATAGAGGACGATTCCTTATTTGGCTAGAGAAGTAATTATCAAAGTTACTTCAATATTTTATTATGATTGTAATTTTTTTTATACTTGTAATTTTATAAAAAAAAAAAGAAATGTAAAAAAGTAAAGATAGCTATATATTAAGTTCATATTTTGGTTTATAATTTAAAAACAAAATTATCCTAACCAAACAAATTGTATTTTTTATTATTTTTATATTATTGTTATACCTTTTTAATTTTTTTTTATAAATTTAAGTAAATAAAAGTAAAATAATGTTTACAAACTATTTTGTTAAATTAAAAAAATTAATGAATCGGATTGATTTAAATGATAAAATGCAATTCAATTTTTATTCATATTTGGTTTGATTTTGAAAAAATCAAAATACTGCTCATTAGTCAATATTGTTTGTAAACAAAGCCGAACCTTTAGGCTTTGGCATGCTGGTGAGAGTGTGCTAAATATCAGTGGCAAGCGTATTGTCCGTCGCTGGTGAGAATGCGTAATTATAATTATAATAAATAAATTAATTAATCGTCTTTTTTTTTGGGTTAACACATTAGTTGGTTTTATAAAATCTATTCAAAACTTATCTTTTCTTTTATGAGCACTAGAAATATGTGTGCCCACTCCGTTTGGAAGATCAATAAAATATGTGAAAAAAATGTTTGAGAAAAAAAATGGGAAGAAAATTTTTTAAAAGTGAATAGTTTTTTAAGAAAAAATAGATGCTTTTTTTAAATAAGATATATTAAATAAAAATTGGAAGACATGAATATTCCTATTTTATCATGTAATTTTATTTTATTTTTTCATATATTTTTTAATTAAGTTAGAATCATGACTTAACTAGTAAGAATAAACTTAATCAGACATCTTATTTGTAATATCGATTACACTTCAAATAGATCAAGATGCTTAAAAAATTTAAGCTTCAATCAGCATCTTTTAACCTGCTCCATTGTGTAACTATAACAATAAATAATCAAACAACAATAATAATAATTATAAATAGAAAGCAGTCTGTTCCCATTTTAAATACTCGATGTTGTCAGAAGACAAATCAATTTAAAAGTTCTCCTTGACGAACCTCTGCTTCATTGGTTCATGTTTTCTAATTGTCCTACCATCATCAAAAGGCCGAATTGAAATCCAATCTAAATAGGTCGACCTCCCTACTCCAATCATGGATCTCTACACTCATTTCCAAGCAATTGCATGGCTTTTAGGCTGTTAAAAACTGCTTCACTACTAATGACAAGATATTCGCTAGTCGACCAAGATCAACTGCGGGAAAGTACTTAGGTTACAACTATGCAGCAATGGGCTTTGTCCCTTACGGAGCATATTGGCGTGACATGCGGTAGCTAGCAGTGGCTGAACTCTTGTCTAGTCGTATACTCGAAGCTTTAAAGCACGTCAGAATCTCCAATGTGGACGCATTTATCAGAGAGTTGTACTTGTTTTGCCAGAGGAATGAAAAAAATTCGAACAATAAAGTAGATATTAGCTACCGGCTGGAACTACTCATCATTAACATAATCCTACGAATGATTGCAGGGAAGCGATATTTTTCGGGTGCTGAGGGCAAAGATGATGCTGAGGCGCAACATGTAGTGAAAACCATCAAAGAATTTTTTTATTTTGCAGGTAATTTTGCTCCAGCAGACGTAATTCTCGTTTTAGAATGGATGGACTTTCAGGGCCAAGTGAAAAACATGAAGCGTGTTTCGAAAGAGCTAGACTCAATCATTGAAGGTTGGGTTCGTGAACATAAATTGAAGAGACATGACATGGGTGAAGCAGACAACAATCAGGACTTCTTCGATGTGCTTCTGTCAAAGGTTACAGAAGAATCTATATTTGGCCACCCTCGTGACACAATCATCAAGGCAACCGTAATGGTACGTTCTTGGTTATCTTCAATTTACTATATAGTAATTAATATATTACTTGAATTAGAATCAAATTAATACTACCTACTTGTGGTGATAAAAAGAATCAGGAACAATGGTACACATACACTTAAGCAAAGACAACATAGACCACATCAAATTATATGGATTATATAAGTTTTTTATTATTAATTTAAAATCCCATTAACGAGGGTTTATAAATATTTATTAGAATTAGTCAAAAATATATTTTAAAAATTTTATTATAAATTCAAAAATAAATAATATATTAATTACAATTTTTTTATAAATAAAAACACTCTTTAACGTTTGTCATTAACTTGGTAATTATGCTTAGTGTTATTATTTTGATTTTTCAAGTAAAAGTAAAAAATGTTTAAATATATATAAAAGTTAAATAATATATTACTTAAAAAAATTAAAAAAATTTTTTTAACAAAAAACAAAATTGTGATTTTATCTTCTTTTTTTTTTCGGTACGTTGAAATTCATTGTATTTGAATTACACAAATTAAAATAATTTTCTCTTATTTTATAAATCTTATTCCTCCAAATTAATATTTAAATAATTAAGACCCTATGTATTTACGTGAAGTTTGGTTTATATATGTATTATGTTTCATTATTAGATTATTTTTAAGTAAATATGATTTTGCATTTTACTTTTAAATTTGAAAAATTCATGATCGCATAAAGCACTTTCAAAAAATTACTCTGTAAAATATCACACTCCCCCAAGGAAAGTTGTATTGTAGAATGGCAAGCCAAGGATTTCAGTGCCCTTGTATCAACCACTACTAATTGGTAATCAAGGAAAGACGGTGGTTACAGTCGAGTGGAGATTATCCATTAATGGTCCGTTCTTTTAATTTATATTCTGTAGAATCAATAATAGCAGCAGCTGACACAACATCGATCACATTGACATGGATTTTATCCAACTTGATGAACAATGAGCGTGCCTTGAAGCGTGCCCAGGTAGAGCTAGACTCTAGAATCGACAGGGAAAGATGGGTTGAGGACTCTGATATGGAGAAATTATCTTATCTCCAGGTCATTGTTAAAGAAACACTGCGCCTGTACCCACCAGGGTCCTTATCGGTTCCACATGAAGCAATGGAAGATTGTTGTGTTGGGGGCTACCATATACCCAAGGGGACTCTTTTGTTTGTCAACTTGTGGACGTTGCATCGAGACCCAAGAATTTGGTCTAATCCTGAAGAATTTCTGCCCGAAAGATTTCTTTCTAGCCATGTGAACGTTGATGTTTTCGGTAAACATTTTGAATATATTCCATTTGGGTCGGGGAGGCGATCTTGTACTGGGATATCAATGGCAATGCAAGTGACACGACTGACTATTGCTCGTTTGCTTCAAGGATTTGATTTGACAACTCCATTGAATATGCCGGTGGATATGACCGAAAGGTTAGGCCTTATCATGCCCAAGGCAACTCCGCTTGAAGTTATTCCTAGTCCACGCCTGTCTGCACAGCTTTATGATCAACTCTAAACAGATATGATCAAGCATACTTGGTTGCAACTTATGCTGCATCTTGCTTTATATATATATATATATAAATGACTATTAAGAGTTGGACTTTGATCATTAAAAATAAGATCCGAAAAAAATCATTAAAATTAAGGAACTAGTCATCTTTCTTTCTTTATGCATTCATTCTGCTTCGATGGCTTTATCTCTGGAAGCTTTTGCAACTCCAACATATACCCACACAGGCCACAATTTCCTCTCTTCTCATTTTTTATTTTTTTTTCTGATCAAGGTTGATTTGAGATGCAAGGGTCTTCTACATTTGCATTGTGCCGCCAGTAGAGAAAGGTGAAAATTGGGGCGGGTAGTGCAAGAGAGAAAGCCAATCGTCCTTACTACCCAAAGCTAACTGAAATAAAAGGGGACTAATTATACTAGTTTGTATAGATCTATTGTTACAACCCATCTTATTATTGTCTGTCAAGATGATTATGCTGCCAAAGTCCAATATGGTGAACTGACAACCCAATATGACGAAGACCCATTGTTTTTACCATTAGGCGCTAAAGAAAAGCCTAGTCGGGTCGTGGGGTTGATAAATTTGTCTTGCCATTAAAGTTTTTTAGTAATCAACCCAAAACCTTGCGAATGAGAAATGCACAATATGAAGCAATCATCGAGTAACAACAGCAATGAATTAATGACCAAGAGCAACGCTTCAATGAGCAATAGCAAAGACTCACTGCTTTAGAGGTCATGTTAGCAACAATGCAGCATAGCATATCAGTAGGTCAGTCTTATAGCATCGTTCACGTAGGATAACTTTCTGTTGCAAGTCAGGCAGAACCTTCACTACCACTCATGAAGTATGATTTTGTTTGTAAGTTTAATATTAATTTGTTTATTATATTTATTGATTTGGTTTTAATACTTATATTTCATTTAATATTGTAGCAAGATGTTGGGACTCAGAGT